AAGCATTTGTCTCAGTAAATCGAGACGCTCTGTGGATTTTGCTCCAAAGATACGGATATCCAAGACACCTCATCACATTCATGCAATTATATTACAATGGTATAACTGCAACTGTCTTGAGCAGGAGACCTAAAACAGATGCCTTCGAAATCAAGACAGGCATCAAGTAGGCTGTTTGATAGCTCCCACATTAGTTAGAATCCACCTGACAGTGACTGTTCACCTTCCTGCGCTCTGGTGTCAATATTGATTATTATGAATGAAAACCAAAAGAACAGCGGATGCTGTAAATCAGAAACAAACACAGATGTTGCTGGAAAAGCTCAGCAAGTTTGGCAGCATCTGTGAAGAATAAAATCACACTTAACGTTTCGGGTCCAGGGACCCTTCCTCGTGAAGACTCTTTAACCTCGATCACTTCGTACCAAATTTAAACCAACTACAATACCTATACATATCCTACAGTTTGCAGGTGACTACAGTGTTGTTGTCTGCTCTTCACCAGATTTGCAAGCCTCCATCAATCTCTTCAATTCTGCAAACAAAACAAAAACGCTGTCTGTCCTTCAATGTTACCAAAGGAACACTAATGCAGATTGCCACTCTGACATTTTTAGAAAGGAAGGATGACTGCATTTGAGAGGAGATACTGCTCAAGGGTCCCACAGAAATGTGGAGCCATACTTACTTCTGACTTTTCTTTCACAGCACAGAACTGTCAGAGGAAGGCAAACCACACCCCCATTTAAACATTCACTCAGCTGCTGTCAAATGGGAAGCACAAAGTATAAAGATGGATGTTAGGGTGCTGGGAGTGTAAGTTGCAGATAGGTACAATGTAGGGCACCAGCTGGATAGGGAAAAGGGTTCCAGGGATTATGATACCAGATGAAAAGGGGTAGGTACCAGCTGGATAGGGTGCCAGGTGAGTACAGACTAGGATGCCAAGTGGGAAGTGAATAGGGTGCGAGGGTGCACAGTATGTCTGGGTCTGGTACAGATCTTGGAGGATCTGGGTCTATGAGTGTCGAGTTTTGCTTGCTAACTTTCAACATAGCTCTATGAATTCTGATTGCAGGACCACATCTCCCTTCTTACTCAAGTCATTGGTATCAATGTGGACCATGACCTCTGACTGTTCACCGTCCCCCAGGAGAATGTCCTACAGCCGCTCAATGGCATCCTTAACCCTGACACCAGTGAGGCAACATACCATCGAGGAGTCATGGTGATGGCTACGGAAACACCTGTCTGTAACCCTAACCCTGGCACTATTGCTTCTTATTTCTTCTTCCTCCCCTCTTGGGAATGTGGGGAGATTAGGGAAAGGGAGGTGATCAGCCATGTTCTGTTTGAATGGCAGAATGGGATCAATGGGCTGAATGGCCTAATCCTGGACCTATTTTCCATGTTGCCATGTGATCACCCAAGGAATAGATCTCTGTAAATGCTCCAATGTTCTTAAATATAATTAATAAAACTCCAGAGAAGTTACCCATTTTCACATTACCACTACTCAATGCTGTGTCTCTGTTCCATAGTCAAACAACCCTCCTCTCCTCAACCCATTACTTGTATCATGTGCTAAAGCTACTTCTGAAACAGCAATTTTATCATTCAATTTTACATGCTCAGTCTCAGTTTATATTGTTGTTGCTACTAAGTATGAGTGCCACATGATGAGGGCACTAGCATGATACTAAATCAAAATGAAAACAATTATATGTTCCACGGAGAATTTGACCAATTCAGACTATACCTAATATAAAAGCCATCCATTGCATTTGAAAATAGATAGTTCTAAATACTTTACTGATATTAATTAAAACAGTTGACGACTGAATCGTGCACAAAAATAAAAGTCAGTAGTGAGAAACACAACAGGGGAGAATTCTGGTACTTGAATTAGTGTATGATTTCCCAATTTGTGAACAAAAGGGTCATGCTGAGATTTGTGTTTAGGAAGAAGGGGGTTGAAGATGAAAACATTGAATTCTTTCATTCAACACATCTTCTGATGCTGCCTATTTTTATAGGTTGTGTTCTTCAAACTTTGTAGTGGCAGCCAAATTTAATTAAACATTAAGCTTATTATCTGCAATGAAGGGCTCGTAACTGAATAGATAATATTCAATTGATGTTAGCCAACAGAACGGATATATTTTGTCCAGTGGCTACAAGCATATTATGATTATGATACTAGATTAATAACCCAGAAGTTGTGAACTCCTCCCACAATGGCAAATTGAAAGTTTGAATGCAATAAATCTTACAGTTTGTAGATTGGACAGAAAGACCATGAGAGATACCAGATGGACAAAAATTCAGCTAGTTCCCTAATGTCCTTCATGGAAGAGAACCCTCCACATGATCTGACCTTTAATATCACACAATGTGGTTTTACAGCAAACTAAAAATGCACAATTAGTGCAGTATTGCCCATTTCCAAAGAAAAAAAAAACTCTGACTTTCCCAAAAATACCAGTTCTGAATAGAGTTTCAATTTCAAAGTGCTAATCCGACTGTTGACAATAATCACTAGTGAGCAGGGACAGTATTTACCTTTTCTCCCAATGGAAACCAATTGTGAGTATTGAAAACCTTCTGAAGAGCTTGTTAGGGTATGCTGCTAACGTTCTTAATGGGTGACTCCTGTCTTCAGAAACTGAGCAGGTGGGTAGAGCATGGCGAGTCATTCACGGTTATCATAGGGCATCACCCTATCCTATCAAGGAGTCAGAGAGGCAGACATTTCCTAAGGGATGCCTGCACAGTTGGCAGAGAGAATGGATACTTAATGCCTGTGCTTTGAATGCAGTTAGCACTTGTGACACCATGGGGGCAAATGTTGCAATGTTCTCCAGGATGGCGGCAGAGTAACCTGCAGCTTGTCCGCTCTGTTTGTTTTTCCTTTTTTACCTTCTTTCTATGCCTTTCAAAAATTTAACCTTATTTACTTTCTTGAGGAGAGCTCAGAGGGCATCCAGCACATTGGAGGCAAGATTTGTCCCTGGCAGTGGCAGAGGGAGTAGAACTGTGCTCCCATCAGAAGTGGCAGAAGGAGGTGATCTTGGGCCCAGTGGCCGGTGCAGGACCTGGCGTCTTTAACAAAGGCTAAATTACAGAGACCAGCCCAGTGCAGTCTCATGGCAGAGGCATCATCGGTAGAGGCAAGATGATGCCAAAGAATGGCAACACGTTTCTGCGGTGGCAGTGCAGTGAAGGGACTCCAGGCTGGCCAATGGCTTTGTGCTGATGTTGGTCTGTGTTGGTGTGGATGAGCCCAGATCCAGGCCCATGGATAAGCACTGAAGAAGTACTGTACTGTCAAACTTTGAACTTTATTTCTTTACTTTTCTACCGTTACGCTCTATGTTTGGTTTATTTCTTGTGTTTTAAGATGGTGCCGGAGAGTGGCGATATTATACAACACTTTCACTACACTTGTAACGAATACGTGTGACAATCAATCTACAATCAATCAGAAGAGCAGGGGACAAAGGAAGGAAAACTGGGCAGCCAGCTTTGCAGAATGAAGGCAACAGCTGGTATTGGAG